GACAACGGCTCTCTGGTGGAGACGCTGGAAGCCTGTCTTACATAAGTCATATAAACCGCTTTCAGGTACCGCAGTCTACGGGTAATTCGTGCACGTGCTTCCCACATGGCGCCATATGTTAATAATTCTTAACTAAACTATTGATTGGCCTGTACCACACTACACTAGGTCCTTAATGTTTTGCATTGTCTTTTTTTCTGTACAAATTCAAGCTTGCTGTTTTCTCTCATTCGTTATTGATGTCATGCAGCAGGGTGCAGCTGATGAACCGTTGCGCAATTTATTGTATCCAATAAATCTTGCGTTACTTGCTTGCGGTGACCCTGAATTAAACTCGCATGGCAAGCAAGATTTGGTCGGCTCATCCACAAATAATAGTGTAAAGTATCTGCGCTGATGAATTTTAATTCGCACAATTGCGTCGCAGGGTTACTTGGAGAAGCCATTCCAATTTGGTGATGACTCTGGTCTATCTCTTCGCAATTTTAATATAGTCTTCTTTTGCAGGGATGTTTAGTTTGGTGTATTTCAGAAGAAGAAGAAGAAGAAGAAGAAGAAGAAGATGCGATCACTGGAATAAGAGTTTTATTTACCCGACGTTTCGGATTCCGTCGGGAATTCTTAATCATGGGTAATGGTAGGTTAGTCTGAGTCATGCGCAGATAGGGGGTGTACTTGACTGCATGGCCGCTTCAAGTAAATTCCCTGTTCGATTAGGAATAATTATAATATTAAGTGCCTTTCAGCATACTCTCAAGATATGTCAGTCACGCCATAATACCGGTTTTTGAAGGCACTTTTATTTTGCCGTCTGCAAAAACCGTACTGGGTAAAAATGCTTACATGTGTAGTATGATTTTTGATTTCCTTATAAATTCAAATATGGTTTACAGAAAACATACTGAAAAATGCAATTTCTTGTAATAATTTGGTAGATAATCACTTTCTCATTATGTGTTTGAGGAACGAATAATTATGAGATTTGTTGCTGCGGCTGGATCTTTGAATCTAGAACTGTTCGCAAACCAATGTATTACCGGCAAACGTTAGGGGGTGCAGAATACGCGTATTTCTGGCTTATTGGCCGTCTTCGGCTGCACATACCCAACTCCAGTATAGCCACAGAAACTGCCGCTACACTCGAGTTTCGAACCCGCGACCAGTGAGCTAGAGACGAACGTCCTATCCATTGAGCCAACGGGTCGACGTCTTTGCCGGTTGTTTGCAAAGTTTAATTTTTCCCGATGAATTGGTTCAAGTACGGCAGTTAGATCATTTAACCTTTCATCTCGGTTCATTTGAGCGGTTCGTTGTTAGGTGGTGTATGGGGTTATGCGTGTAAATATGTGACTTTGTTGTGCCTGCCTTTTGAAGTCTGTTCGTCAACCACCATGTGCAAATATTGACCTACATTCCTACCTCAGGCTTGTTTATGTTCTTTTTTATAGAGCCAGTCGTCCGTCGCCGTCGTCGTAACACTCGCGAAGCTGTACGGAACTTAACATGTAAGCACCAGTTGCCTATGTAGTCCCGCCTATTTTAATTTTCCCCGCTTTGACATGTTTCGCCCTCAAAACATTGCCCGATTTAACTGAATAAGGACAGTAAAATCCCTTTGGCCTAATTTGCAGAAACTACTAGCCTCATATTGAATAAGAGGGCTGAACAAGCGAGCAACGTCTGAACAAGGTCCTTGCGTTTGCAATTATCGGTTCCTTAAAAAAACGTTGTAAAATAGAATGTTGTTGTCAGCCAGCAAATTGTAACTCACTGAAGGTGACTCCCTGTAAGTAAAGTCGGAGCAAAAATCTTTGGCATTCCATTCGTCCAAGAACTGGGTTGGGCCTAGACACGAACACAACCCAACGAGACCATAAAAACGGCTAGAATGACCTGGTTGCGAATAGACGAAGGCCATATTGTCATTCCTTTAGTGTGTCATAGTTCTCTGTAGGTTCGAACCTGCTCTTTGTAACAAATAAATATGTAATCATTTCATACACGTCATGCAACTACTATCGCAGGTAGACTAAGTACCGTTTATATGAAAATGGATGAGGTTCGGCAAAGCACTAAATGTTAAACGCTCATTTTTCTACCACTTTTGACTTCAAGGCTTCCAACCAGGATGCTCCATGTGCTCATCTTGTTCCCCCAGTGTCTACTTTTACGGTGTGTTCTTCCCTCTAATGAACTTCGTGCGCGTAAACTCTTCACAAGGAGCTATCGGCTCCGGCCTTGAAGGTTACCACTTGAGGGCATTACTCGACCCTCATGGGAAATACAGTGAAATGTCTAAAGGATTGCGGGTTGGGCTGCAGTGGATCCCTCTCAATATAACTTTTATGGAGTCCTCACCTTTGTGAGTTCCAAGCCAGCATCACAGAAGCCTGCCAGGTATTTGCAATGGGGGAACCAGGTCGTGCGGCATTTGTAACGGACTGTTTAGATTTATCAGCCGCTGTACCCACTTCTAGTAGTCTTGATTTTGTCTTCCCATCGGAACAGGGTGTGTGGAAGAATAGTTTTTTTTATATGCTGTACAAGTCACCGTTGTGCTTACTGTGCGCGGTAGTCGCTGCGCCTCTTCGTATGCGATAGTCGGACTATCATTGACGACACGAGTTGTAATTACTTGTAAACGTACCTTATTGGGCTACATCTATAGCTTTAATGAATTTCTTTAGCATTTTGGTGTCTTATTGTTTGGTTGAGTAATTTATTTACATGAGCATTTGCCAGAGCATCTCAAGCGTGTGCGTTTCGCTTAAGTTTGCTCCTTTTTCCTTCCAGCTTACCGTGGCTGCGAAATCGTCGACCATCTCCTGGATGCAGCACTGCCCATGCGGGATCTGAACAAGATCGCTGAACTGATTATCTTAAAGTGTCCTCAAGTGGCATCGTAACTATTTCACGTACTTATTTTTTCTGTTATCCCTTGGTGTTATTAGACACGCCGACTGTTATCCCCTCTATCCATCCATTTACTCAAGTTTGCATGTCGCTAATTTATCACTTCTACTACCTGATTCGTCTTATTGTGGACACTAGTTCTGATTGGTTTCTAAGCCTATCGTGAATAGTTCACAATATCCAATCTGACTGCATTTACTTGCCGACCGTGCGTTGCTAACATACATTTACCCTACAAAAAATTGATCGTCCTCTCCTATTTCAGCGTTACGTACTGCGCTGCTTTCGTCATCCATTTTTGTATAACCGGTTTCAACAACTCGTCATCCCAGTTCCATGTGACCTTTCTTTTACCCCCTTCGATCTACCTCCTGAATGAGTGCTGAAAGTTATATTTCTGGGCGAGGTTATAGTGTGCAGCCCTAGTGAGGCCGTAGTAGCCAAGTCCACGCGTAGGACGGGCGCAATAGGTGTTTTTTGCAAGTGGGGCACATGGTAACTTGCATGGAATGATCAAACTAACGCAACAGACCGAAATGGGGTCTCTTACTCCAGTCCACGTATAAAGTGCTGGACAGCGAACGGTAAATGAAGAGGGAAAAACGTATGCATGCAAGTAGTTTGGTGGAGAATGTGGAAGCGGCACGGCTTAGCTAACGAAGGAGGCGGAACTTATCCTAGGTTAAGTAGCCAATGAGAACGCGTGGATAGCTTTGAGGGTTATAGTGCAGAATGTGCACTGTGTTTGACGAAATGAAAGGCGGCCAAATGCAACCGGGAATTGCATATTATGAGACAAGCGGTCTCACTCCAAGAACGAAGGCGTTTGGTGTTTAACAGTTTATAAGGGCAGTGAAAATCAATGTGCAAAATACATGCATTTTTACAGAATATATCTTTTGCAAGTGGTCAGTAAGAAGCTCGCTTAAGGGTTGGCATCCTGAAGTGACTGAGATTAGGCCGTACGATGATCAGCATTACAGCCGCTCTTAATGCGGGTTTGCGAGTGACTATCACTATTCCGAAAATCTCGGCATTTTGCATAAGTTTGGGCCCGAACTGTATGTATTTAGACAGAAATACATTACCAACAAAGACAATTCGATAATGTATTTCTGCTGGCT